CCAGTACAATTCTGTGTTCTCCCCTAGAAACATTGAGAACGTTAGCCATAGAAGTTCGTATTTGTGCCAAAAGCTTGTGGTTATGTTCTGAGGCTTAAATTCACTCCGGTAATTTATGATTTTTTTTTTTTTTTAAACCGCTGTGAAAAACAGAAATATTCTGCTTTGTATCTCTGTTCACATAGTGGGCTCTAGTAGACCTCGTTTTCTTTTTGACTTTTTCCAAAAGATGGCGGTAGATGCCCAAGAAATAACTTCCAAAGACGTGATGGAGGATGCTGCAAGAGGCGTTTTTAGCTTTCACTGGGTTATTGGTAGCTCAGCTGATTCCCCCAAGGCCCTCTTTTCTGGGTGGGCATGGTATACATTTTTTTCGGGGGGATGGGGCGCGGAACCTTGGCCACAGACCACCTGTTAAATCAGGATCTCTTTAGGCATCCGGTAGCATCTTGCCAGCTGGCAAAAAAAAAAAAAAAATCCCGAAATTTTTCTCAGCTATCAACAGACTTGATATAAGCTATATAACCGATTCAGGAAAGCAGCCAGCATTGATTTAGAGATACTGCAGCATCTGTTGCATTGCATACATTTGTTGAGATGGAAGAGAGCCACTCGCTGGTGGGGAATGGCCGCTGCGACCTGGAACTGAAATCCCGCAGGGCGACCTGCAATCAACCGCCAAGTACTGAGTCCCTCTTGTTTGCCTAGCACCTTAGCAGAAGCTACACAAGAAATGTAAGAGTTGATACCCTCCAAATGCTTATCATGCTCGTTGCGGTCGGGTCGATTCGGACTCACAGCGACCTTATAGGACAGAGTAGACTGCCCCACAGGGTTTCCAAGGAGGAGCTGGTGGATTCGAACTACCAACCTTTGGGTTAGCAGCCGAGCTCTTAACCACTGCGCCACCAGGGCTTATAATAGAGCCCACAAAACACACAAGAGAAATAACTGCCAAGCAAGACCTAGTTGATAAAGCGGTAATTGTGTGGCGAAGACATTAAGTTCCATAAGCATTAAAAAAGAAAGGTCAGCGGGGTCCGAAATGGCCTAAGGGTTAGGCTTTGAGTAAGGAGAGAGTGAGGAGGAGAAAGGGGGGGTGGAATAAGAAGGGGCGGGGGCTTGGGGGGAATCTTTGGAGAACTCTGGAGAAAGCGAATTTAGAATGCCGGAGGAGAGAGGAAATGGGGGGGAGGGTGCGGCCAAGTCCAGCTGAGACCCGGCTGCAGCCCCCGCACGCGCTGGCTCTGCGGACTCTTCTTTCTTCACTTAGGTCCCGAGCATCCCTGAGAGTGGAGCGTTTCCGGTCAATTGATCGGCAGGGCTGTTTCCCGCGCACGTTAACCACGCGGCGTAAACCCAAGCCCCGCGCGCGTTGCTGCGGACGGTACCCAGGCGGACAGTACCCAGGCGGACAGCGCGGGCCTTCGCGGGGCAAACCCGCTCGGCCACGGAGGGGGCGTGGCGAGGGCGGCCCGAGGGGGCGTGGCGAGGGCGGGCCCGACGTGGGCGGGG